CCCCAGCACTGCCCAGGTACCCCAGCATTGCCCAGGTACCCCAGCACTGCCCAGGTACCCCAGCATCCCTCCTCCCACTGGGCAGCCCTGCTCTGTCCGCCCCCCTCCAGGCCCCAGCCCCTACTGCCTCTGCTGCTGCTCTCAGCCCCCAGCCATGCCAGGAAGGTGCCCCTCAGCCCCAGTGCAGGGTTTCAGGGTGCCTGGTTGAGCCCCTCCCCAGATTCACTGCCATGCCCTTTCTCAGCACATCAGAAACGCTCCTGAGCTTTGCTTCTCTTGGCTTGTGTAAGTGAAACATTTGGTTTTGTGACACTTTCCTTAATTACGGGAGCTAATGACAAAACCATTGTGACAAATGACTCAGCTTTTGATAGTGAAGTTAATTAATTCTGAAGTTCAAGCCTTCATTGGAGTATCTGGAAAAACCCGATTAGGAAGTCTGCTTCCCCAGCGTGACACGGGCAGCAGGAACCCGGTCCCTGTGACAGCCAGGTAAAACCCTCCCCACGGCTGTGAGGGATGATCCACCCGGAGCAGAGCGAGGGGATTAAAGGCCAGACATCCCAGTGCTGCCTCCTGATCCGTCCGTCCATCCATCAAAGCACCCAGGGAAACACAGCCTCATTAACGTCGCAGTGAGTGACCAGGGGCAGCTCTGCGTTGGGCGCTGACCTTCAAGAGCGTCTCCCTGAAGCCATCTTTCATCTCTTTCATTTGCATTACAATCCTGTTTGCCTCATTATTCCTTATCCACTTCTTCTTCAAAGGATTTAAATCAAATCAATTAAATTGCGGCAGCTGGAGCAGCAGTGAACCTTTCCTTGTGGCTCAGCGTGGTCCGGCCGGACCCGGCTACAGAAGGGGTTTAATCTTCTGCTGTTTGTTCTTTTATTGCTTCTGAGGTACCACTGCCCACAGATCCCTTTGGTAATAGTCTGTCCTTCCCACCCATCCCATGCAGGCATTCTCCATGCACAGCCTGGTCTTTGTATGACCTTGGGGAAGGGATTCTCTTGGCTTCCCTCACAGAGCCTGGGATGGGGATGATGGGGAGCTGCTGACCTGCCCAGAGCAGCTGGAGGAACCCTGGGGCACTGCCATAGTGGTTGCTGTCCTGTGTCATCCCTTTCCCTCTACTCAGCTTGTTTTTTCTGCCAGGGAATCAAAGAACCATGGAATCATTCA